AGGATCAGACCCAAAGTGACTTAATGTAAAAAGGGATGTGTGTTGTTTTTGTTTTTACTATGTTGTAAAAGTAGATTTATTATGAAATCAGCCTATAATTACCCTCTTAATAATTCCCACTCTTCGGCACTCACTCAAAAGAGACTCATCTCTATTGTATCCGCTATAAAAAGAGCAGCCACGTTGACATACTTTATGACTTTATTAAAAGTGGGGATTTTATATTAATAATTCTAGGATCCACAGCCATATTTCCCCAGTGAAGGAAATGTGTGCATTGGTCTAGTTCCAAGGTAATTTGTAAACATAAAGTATTAAAAGGCTCAACAGTTCTAAAAATGTTAATTGGAAACTCCACAAATTGCTTTGCAACATCTTTATACTTCAGTATGGAGCTTTCAGATAACAAGGAGCTAATTAAGGGGTGAAGATTCCTTTTTTTTTTTTTTTTTTTTTTAATGGTATCTGTCTCCATATGGGCTCTGAGTTCACTGCTTGTAGGTCATGCAAGTAATGGGAAAGAAAAATGATTTTTATTTTTTTTTAGCTTTTAATGTAATGATGATGCTAGGCATTAATCTTTGTGTTACCAAGAACAGACCTCTGGGACAGGGACAGATGCCTGCATGAACTTTGTTGAAATCGAGCAACTGCTGCCCAACCTAAGGGTATGGACTCATTCTCCATATCCTAGTGTGGAACACATTCCTGAAAAGACACATGCATTTCACTAGCCGTCATGCATTGAGCATGGACTTTGCAACTTGTGTGTCACATTATCAGCCTTGGCTTCCAAATACATATGCCAGCCTATGACTGAGTCCTCAAAAGTGGTCATGCTCCCCTATGCATACAAAACCAGCCATCTGTGCACACAGATAAGGAGTTTAGAATCAGATGAGCCTTAATCACAAAAGTTCACATCTGGATTTCAAAGTGCAGGGGTGTGCCAATACAGGATTTTGGTTCAGCCCACTATAAAGACAGAGGCTACTTGAAATGTGAACCAAGGCCCAGGTGTTCATCTAACAAACACTTCCAATTTTGGTGTTTGGTTCAAGCCAATCTCTTGCTTTGTGCCTACATCCTCTCTGGGGATGATGGGACGTGTGAGTCTGGCTGGATCACGCCTTCTAAGCACGAATGATGTGTGAGGCAAAGAGAATTAAACTGGAGAGAGGGAGAGGAAGATACGAGCTCAGAGGGTGAACAAAGTGAAAAGAGGCAAGGGAGTGAGTGAAAGGCAGGGAGGAAGACTCAAAGGGGGAAATGTACAAAAGGAATGGGGAAAAAGAAATCAAGGGAGAGAGGGAAAAATAAAAGGGGGAGGAGAAAGACTAGAAATAGAGAAAAGAGATACAGAATTGGTCAGGGAGATTTGGGCTGAAGGAAGGTGCAGCACAGAAAGCAGTAGGAGGAGATGAGATGTAAGGGAGAAGAGGATAAGAGTAGAGATGAAAGGAGTATTGCATGGAGAAATAGTCAGAGCTGATCTTCCCTGCTTGGTTTATGAGCTTTGGACCAGTCTTTTTTTAAAAAAAAATTTGCTAGGCATGTTCTTCTCTTTCCTTCAGCTGCAGCTTTGAAGTAGACAAGGGCACGGTGCACTTAAAACCTATTGAAAGAGGGCTGCCAGTGAGAGCTTTCCCTGAGTGGGAGGAGGAGTGATAGATACTCCTGGTCCCTTGTATATCTGATCATTCTGAGCCCATAGAAGAGAGTGAGGTAACTTGGTACAGTGCAGTGGAAGCCAATGACTCTAGCAAAGGCGGGAAAGCACTGTGGCTTGGTGAAGCCCAAGAATGAAAGAGATCAGAGTCTTGCTGAGATTATTTCTCTTTCCTCTGTAGAATCATCTGATGATCACGTGAATGGCTCGCTCATCTTTCCATTAACTGGCACCCAGCTCATCCAGAACTACAGATGAACCAGCTGGATGGAGATCAGTTGGTCAAATGAATCAAATGACAATGGTAGGCTAAGTGCTGACTTGAAATATAGGCAAATTTAAGGCAGTTGAATTTATTGCTCAGCTATAAACCGTCACCTGGGACTAAATATTGCTGTCGTAAGTGAATGCAGAATCTAGGCTCTGGAGTCCACTTAGCACAATGCAGTCTCTGAAGCCGACACAAATATTTAGCAAAGTCCTTTGAAAGCAACACCTTCTAAAATATTAACTTCACACGCACACAGGGTCAAATTTTTCATTGCTGCAATTCATTGACTTCCTTGGGGAAATGCCAGCAGTGTGTTTGGCCCAGTGTACTTCATGCACCAAATAAGTCAATTGTGATAGAAATTTATCCTTCTGGGACGCATTTGCCTCAGAATGGCTCATCCACTTGAAAAATAATGCACACCAAAAATATATTACCATATGGTGTCCATTTATAGAATACGCACAACAGGCTAATCAGACAAAGGTGCCGTCAGTTTGACCATTTTTCTCACCTCATTAACTTTGGCACATGTTATGGGGAAAGCTGTTCGGTCTTTGTAATGTTCAAGGACACTAGGTTGGTTCAGTTTTGTATTAAATGAATTGGACTAGAAAAAGGAATTTAAATAAAGTGTCTATGCAGAGGCAATCCAGTGTATATTGTGTGGTGCTTGAGTAATGCTGGAGAAATATTCTATAATATTCCTATAGTAACAACTATAATTCAAATCTATAAAGGGAATGAGAAAGACAAAGAAAGATATGTCCTGATGCACATAAATAGTTGGGCAATTCATGTGTTCTTTATGCAGCGAGGGCCTGCTCCAAAGCCTGTTGAAATTGATAGGAGTCTTTCCATTGATTTCAATGGGTTTTGGATCTGGCCCTAAATCTTTCAAAGAACAGCAGAGCTCTTCCTAAATGAGTCCCTGCTCATGGAATGCACTTGTTAAGTGAAAACAATGCAGGTGCTTTAAAGGCTCCCTGCTTAACAGATTTTTTTACTGCACATTGAAAATCAATACTGTTGCCAATTATATCATGGTTCTTTCTTCCCTTTTTTAGCTTCTATAAAGGAAAACCATTGCTATAAATCTATGAGACCCATAATGTAGCAATTCAGTGCATTAGAAATGTGCTGTGTGATATATAATCAAATCCCCAGAAAGCAGTCCCTGTTCCCGATATGAGCTTTCATTTCAGTAAGTCATCACCCAGGTGGGATTCCAAGATTTACACAACTGGCTCAGAAATCTAGTTGTGAAGAATCATTCTTTGGCCATGATGCCATCCATTTGTGAGAAAACAGTGTTCTAGTCATCCTTTATTTTTGCCCCTTCATCTTCTGCTGAAACATTGAGCAGGGATTATGCATTAGGGTCAAGAGGACGAATCCCATATGTTCAATTTGCTGTGATTGCATCTCTCATTATGTTCAATTTCCCATGACTGATGAGCCCTTGCTACTTCTGAAGTGGTCAGTACTGACTAACATTGAAATCCCTTTATGGAATTCTCTGCTAGAAGCCTTATTTAGGTGAAAGCAACATATTTGCACTCATCAGACTTAGCTGAGAAGCCTGATTGCTGGTGCTACAAGACATGTTTATCCGCTTCTCTCTCTTTTTGAAAGAATATAAGCTTAGTTTATGATAATGAAAGGAAGCATTCTTATAGTCTGTGTAAGGGCAGGCTGGGGATTGAATTCAAGGGGGCTCCTCACATGTATACGAAATGCAAGACTGGTTCTTTAATTGTTACAAGAACACTCTCCCAGCCTGCCCTATATGGATTCAATAAAGGGATATCAGACTCCGGTGTTGGATCAAATGCAATTTGTCCCTCTCCTGCACTAATCTCCAGTACATTGCAATAAGCCTTAATATTATTGCTGATGGTCAGAGGCAACTGGGACGTGGCCTTGGGGAGAAAATGGCGATGGGGCACCTGTGTTTCACCTGGTGTGTTGGATCTGCTGAGCAGTGATCAGTCGGCAGAGGGCAGGATAGTGAATCTGGTAATGGTGATGGGTGATCAACAGGGGAAATGTCCTTGGTAGTCAGGGAGGAGTAGGTCAGGGAGGCAGGGTATCCAAGGATCATGGTTTTACAGGTAGCTAGGGGGTGCATATTGGTGTTAGGGCACACAGAGCATTAGCAGATTCATCTGTCGGACACTCTGGGATTATTTGAAGGCAAGAGTTGGTATGCCGTGACATTCCTCAGCTCCATGAGCTCTTCACAATGGTCAAAGGCAAGACAAGACAGTCTTACGCTGAATTAAACCTAGTGTCTCTGACACCGGGTTGAGGATGATCAGAGGCAATGGTGAGCCGTTAACGAACATTGGGGTCTGTGTCTTTCAAGCGGAACTTTCAAGCAGTTTCATCATCCGAAAATTTTCACAAAATATTACCAAGCTATGAAAACACCCTCATTTCAGTCTTCAAGTCCAAGGCTCAGTGTCTTCACCTCTGACGAATATGGTGTAGAGAGGCCACGTGTCAAATGCTGTTCTGAAATCCAAAGGGTTTAGTCAGGATGCAGAACTGGAAAGGCTTGGCACTGCTAGGAGCAAAAGAGGCTGTCTTTTTGCTGGCAGTGAATCAATACAGCATCAATGCTTTGCTTCCGTTTGTAGTAGAGACTGTTTATATGAATGAAGTGAGGAATTTAACTCCTTAAAGCAGAAGATACTCAGCCTGCTTTTCACTGCCCAAATCCCAGGGGCTGAGAGAAAGGCAGGTACACACCAGGCAGAGCTCACGGGCAGTGTTGCATACACCATAATCTAAATGTATGCATAAGTCCTGCAACTGAGAGAGCATCCGCCTGATTCTCTGAATGATGCACACTGCAAAGCAGACTACCCTTTGAAATTCCTGATGCTGCTGCCTGGTGCCAGCTGTTGTACACAGGAGGCCATTTTCCCCCTTTTAGTTACCCCAACACAAGATGGTTGCACAAAGCTATAACTGAGAACAGAATTTGTCTCTCTAATTTACTACTGTTCCATCCCCTACATACACAGAGCCAGTACACAATAAACAAAACAGGGACATCTCCTAATAGTTTTATTGTTCCTTAGATAACTGTGGATAGTACAAAGTTTTCCTCTTTAAAAAAATTAATTTCCTTCACAAGTCCATCCTCCTAAGACTTCCTATGGGAATCTGATGCCACAGAATATCCACAGAAGCTATTTCCATCAATCATAATGCTGTGTAGATATTATAATAGTAAGAGAATATTTTTAAAATTAGCAACATGAAATTGGTTACCTGTGTATTAGGGGTGAACACTGATTCATTGTCATTTTTTTAGAAACGAAACCATCATTTATTAACCCAAACTACATCATTGCATTTACAACATTCATTGCATAAACTAGACAGACAAAGTTTTGCCACCTCTGGTAAATAACAGACATACATGATACAGTATATTTGCTGAATACATAAGTTCAAACAATATGGATACAACAACTTGTTCATAATACATACTTAAACCATCGTGGTTAATAGTTACTAAGACACAGATCCATGAGCTACTTTGGGTCTCAGCACAGTTAATCTAAGAGACAAAAACACAGTTGAGAGACAGTAGCTGCAATGGAATGCAAGTAAAACTAACCAGTGTTAGTCTTAACCAAACACTCCCTGGAGGGGGTCAGCTTTTCCACTTAAAATACAAATCACACATCCATCATAGCTGACCTTGATGTAGGAAAATGTCCATGCAACTCACATGACAGAGAGAGACTCCCCAGTGATAATTTCCAACAGTCATTGCCTTACTTCTTTAGCATGTACTGGAGATTTGCTATTGGAACCAAAAGCAAAACAAAACCTTCAGTGTTTCTTTAAGTGCAGTTCCAGCTGCAAGTATATGATTATTCTTAAGTCTATACAACACAGGCTTGGACTTCTAGAAATGTAGACGTAATGCTGATGTCAGGTGTATGCTGTATAATCCTCTGTGCAGTTGTTCTTTATTTTGGCAGCTGTTTTTTAATAAGTGCGTTTCCTTGATATTAGTAATTTTTTTTAAATTAGTTTCTAGATAAAAGTGGACTACAATTCATCAGACCTGATGACGTGGAAGAGGGTGACGTTGTAAAGTATCTGATGCCCGTTGTTCCAAGCGTAGAGGGCTCGGTCCTTAGGGTTGTAGTCTAACATGGAAATGTGTGAATATTTGTTTTGGAATGGGATGTCAATGTACTCGTAAGTGGAGGCATTGGTCTGGTAAGCATAGTGCACCTTGGTTCCTCCAGAGTACCCGTTGGTGACGTAGAGCGTGCCGCAGATGATAAAGGCCTCGCCAGCGCTGCGTTTCGGATAGCTGGTGTTCCAGGTCTGCAGGCTCTGCAGGGTGTTGGGGTCCAGCTTGCTAATAACAATGTTCCCCGCGTTTTGATTGGTAGCATAAACAGCCCACAAGCCATTTTCATCCACCATGAGGTCAATGTCAGAATGGCCACCCCAGGCGTAGTGGTACATGTTGTTGTAACCAGCATAATCCAGGCTGCGAGTCTTGAGGATGCTCTCCGTTTTCAAATCAAACCTGATGATTATGTGGCTTTGGTATTTGTTAAAATAGATCGAGCCATTGTAGACCACTTGGCCGGTGCCAGACCAGGGGTGAGGGAGACGGTGAGAGGTGAAATTGTCTGTATTCATGAAATCCGACATGCTTTTGTACTCTCGGACAAAACGGTTGTTGTGGTAGCTATCCATGTACCAGACCTAGGCAAACAATGGAAACATTTCATGTTAGAAGGCAGCAGACAGAGAACCACCATAACAAATGAGCAATATAGAGAGAGATTTTCCACCCCCTCTTCTAGAAGATATGTAGCGCGACAGCATCATAAGTTACCTTAGAAATTAAACGAGATGTTAAAAGGGAACATTCTGAAGACTAAACTACGGAAGCCTCACTTTGAGGAGAAAAGCCTGTCTCTCTTTTCCCACTGTGTCTCATTATACCCACAAGGAATGGACAGACTCTTTCTGGCCTCCCTGGTTCTAGAAGTGTTGCCCTCCAGCTCATCACCAGAACACACATTCCAAGACCCTGATTATTCAGAGAATGACATGGAGTCCTGCAGTTATTAACAGTAGGTTTTCTCATGGACAGACACCAAGGGTCACAAGAAATCCAGAGCAAATTGCTAGGAAGAGAGGCTGTAATTGACAACCTGCTTGAAAATGATGTATTTGGAGGATGCTACCAATGATCAAAAAAATAGGTCCACAATCTAAAAAAACAACTGATTGAATTAACTAGCACACAAAAGCTTTCCAAGACGGGGAAGCTAACATCTTTCCAGCAGCTCTGTAGTTTAAGCTGTTGCCTTGAAGTACCAGGTAGTTGTCTTTGTCCTTTGAAAGGGCAATAACATCTCAGTCTGCTGGGATAAAAACAATATATTATGTTGATGCCTTTTTTTTTTCCTGTAGGCCTCATCAGGGCAGCATTTATTAAATTATATCATCTGATGCGTGGAACTCCATTAATTTGGCATACACAAGAATATGAATGCAATTGCTCAGTGTCACAGAAATTCATTGGAAAGTCCTTATCCGTTTAAAAATCATGCTCTCCTGCATCAAAAGCTCAAAGCGAGGCTGTTACAACACAATAGATAAAGACATCAAAATCTCACTATTGTTAGATCATTAGTTGATGGTGGAGATATTTTAGATTATTACTTAAATGCCAGTTCACTAGGGACACGGTCTAGACTCCTTACAACATGTGTTAGTCATTTGCAACCAAGACTGAAGCAAATTATCAAGCAATACAGTGAGCGTGGAGAAAAAAAAATTTGTCCTACTGACGACATTTTGTATGCAGCTGCCTAATAGAAAGACAGCTGTTTTCTAGATCAGAAATTGTCTGAGCTGGAGGAGAGATAATATATGAAATAGGAGTAGAAATGACTTTTAGGAGGTGTATTTGTACGTCTTAAACAAATACAACTTTTGTCTGTATGGTCCTTGCAAAACCTCCATCGAGTTCTGTGCAGGAAGATTGAGCACTTAGGTATCAATGGGAAAATTCATGTTAACTGCAGATATGCATAAGAACAACCATCCTCGGTCAGATCAAAGATCCATCTAGCCCAGTATCCTATCTTCCGACAGTGGCCAGTGCCAGGTGCCCCAGAGGGAATGAACAGAACAGGTCATCACCAAGTGATCCATCCCCTGTCGCTCATTCCCAGCTTCTGGCAAACAGAGGTTAGGGACACCATCCCTGCCCATCCTGGCTAATAACTGTTGATGGACCTATCCTCCATGAATTTATCTAGTTCTTTTTTGAAGAACTTGCCAAGAAGACAGTGTTAAAACCCATATCTGGATTAGAGTAGGGTTTGGGATTCAGATTTTAGTTTGAGATTCTGGCCCCAATGAAGTCAACAACAGAACTTTTAGGGTGAGGATTTTACTCCAGGAATTCAGACTTAAATTGAAGAGTACTGACTGATTTCATGAGATTTTGACTCAGTCTAAACTGATTCTGAATCTGCTCTGGAATCAGAACTGTAAGGGATGGAATCAAACCCAGAGATTTTAATCTAATCTGCTTCACCATCTGAAATTTTGAAAGGGTTTGGATTGAACCCCCTGCTTCGAGCCCATCTCTAGTTTGATTAGCTATCCTCAAAAAATGTCCCGCGAAGTATTTGTCAATTTCACACAGCCCTTGTTTTGATCAAAGATGTAAAAGATAATTATGCTGCTTCCAGAAGAAGCTGCACTGATTTGTGTAACCAAACATACAGTAGATGTAACTGTAAATGCATAAAACATCCACTGATCAGAATCCCACCATGCCACCATTGCCAGGGTCCTATGAAGTCATCTGCTCTCATATGGATATAAACATCCACACATTGTGTTTGGCTGTTTATCTTAGAATGGCAAATTAACTTGAGAGCTCTGCAAAACATCTGCACTGAATTTCAAACACAGCCCAGGTTTGAAACATTCTGCAAACATGGATGAAGGATGTATGCACAACTGCAGCGTTCAATGCCCCTCCTTTGATGGGCCTGAGATGGGTGTCAGAAGGTCCCAGATGGAACAAGACACTGAGCCCGTCAGCAGGATGGTAGAGACAGGACATCTTGGGAGAAGGGATATGGAATTTCCCCCTTCAAAGGTGGAGTTTATTGAATTAGGGGTTCCAATTTTGGGGTTAAAGAACATCTTACCTTAAACTGAATTTATCCAGGAAATGGCAATGTTATAAAAAAATTAAAACTGAGCCATCTTATTGCTCTGCAGCTCCTGTTTCATTATTTAGCATTAAAAAGTAATACATGCCAAACTCTGTGGATATTTTTAAAACCATAAAAGCAGAAAACCTTGCTATAATGCTAACATTTTAGGGTGGCTGAATCTGCTGAGATTCCTTGCTTCAGAAAACAAGAGATTGATAGCATTGTCTTGAGCCAGGCGTAGTGCAATCTGGCTTTGAGTTAGCTTCTTCCACACACAGCTCTGCCAGCACACATCAATCCCAGACTTCAACGGCCGCCTGCCATTTCATTGCCGGACTTCTCCGGAGAGACTCACAATCCTGCCCAATTGTTTTCAGGGATATTATGACATGAACAAATGAGTCATTTAGGGACCTGAACAGAAGAACACCCACCAAACGTATTGAGCATTGTGATGTAACTCAGTGGTGACCAACACTTTGGTCACCACCCACCATTGACTTCAAACTCTGCCACTTAACCCATGAAATTCATAGATGTGTATGTTTTAAATAAAATCTACTGTAAATAATACACGTACTTCTAAACTTGGGCTAAGTCCTTAGAAAACCTTGTTGCTCCCTTCCTACCTACACTAAAAAATATTGTCTACTGGAGAAAAGAAATTATGTGTGACAGCTATTAAAGAGAGGCCTCCTAAGTGCTAAGATAATGCAAATAATTAATAATAATGACAGACAAATAGCTTTCTGAAGATGCTAGGAACCACGGAAGGCCCTTATAATGCAATCAGCCAATTAGAGTTTGTTTTGAAGATGTAATGGGCCGGATTCTCCTCTTGCACCAGTGTAAATCTGGAGTAGCTGCACTAACATCAGTGGACTGAGTAAATACTCCAAAATGTAGCCCCAGCAGAATAATCCTGTGTCTTATCGAGAGTGAAATGAGAAGTGATAAGGGTACAGGGTTCTGGTTCTGCTCCATAATTACATTTTTAATGATGATGAGCATAAAATTTGGTGTAGTTATTGTCAGAAGTCATATCAGATGGATCCTGTGCAGCCAATCCTCTTGCTAAACAGCTGACCATAAGACCTTAAATTAGCAAGCCAGCCAGACAACTTCATTGATTATGTACTTTAAAAATCCCTGTAAGCTTATGGATAAGCAAGGCCCAGACTGACGGCAGAATACAATAGGTCTGCTCTGAGAACCAAACAGCACACAGCAGAAGAATAATGAGCAACGAGATACTGTCGCTCTGTTGCACCAACCTCCATCAGATAAAGTGATTAAATCTGCATCAGTTAGAAGGTACAACAGCAATAAACTTGTAATGAAAGTTTGTCACCAGATCATGGTGTCCCAGCCTTGAAAATAAGCATTTTAGCTTCAGCGTGACATTTATTATTATATGGCAACAGAGGCTTGTTCCTTTTGACATAATCTCTCATCATTTCTTAAGGTTTGTACCACTGATGCCTGTAACAGGGATGCCTGGGACTAAAATAAAACCCCTTTCATCGGGATTTTGGATCTTGCAGTTGACTCAGAGTCTCTTGGGCAAGGCAACTAAGGGGCAGGCAAGGAACTTGAATTTCACAGATGCATAGAGTTTAAGGCCAGAAGGGACCATTAGGTCATCTAGTCTGACTTCCTATATATCACAGGCCAGTACATTTCTCCCAGTTACCCCTGTATTGAACTCAATAACTTGTTTGTTCATTAAAGCATCTCTTCCAGAAAGGCATCCCATCTTGATCTGAAAACACCAAGAGATGCAGAATCCACCACTCCCCTTGGTTAATCACCCTCACTGTTAAAAAACCTCTGCCTTATTTCCAATCTGAATTTGTCTGGCTTCAGCTTTCAGCCAATGGTTCTTGTTATGCCTCACTCTGCTACAGTAAAGAGCCCTTTAGTACCCAATATTGTCTCTCTGTGAAGATATTTATACACTATAATCAAGTCGCCCCTTCTTCTTTTTAATAAACTAAACAGATTAAGTTGGAGAGAGGAAGGGACAGACTGTCTCTCCCTCTGCATAGTGCCCTTGGTTTAATGCACATGTTCAGAGCTAAGAAGCTTCTCCTAACTGAAATTGACTTTGGAATCACCAGTAGGTATCTTCTTTCTAGTAGGCTTCTTCCCAGTCTCAGCCAGAGAACCCAAACAAAGAGTGAGCTATTAAATTAATTTGCCCTCCCACCCTGCCTTAACTGTGCGGCTGCCCCGCCCCTCTGACTAAGGCTGCATTAACCAATAGTGAATTTCTTTCTTTGTTTGTTTTGCATCCTACAATGTCCTCAGCAAATGCCTTCAGATATTTTCCATTCCATCACTCATTGGAAACCTAGATTGATTTTCAGCTAGTTATTCGCTTCGTACCTCCTTGTGAGCAGAGCTGCACAGTCTGAACTGAAAAGACCAAAACTGAACAAAACAAAAACCTCCCCTGATGCAGCAAATTAATTCTACACAGCAATGAAGGTGGAGGAAGAAGGAGGAGGGAAGATGTAGCTTGGTCAGATGACTTTATCTGAGAGATGAGCAGCAGTGTTATAGAAATTAATGGGACTTTGATGGTCCCTTCCTGTTGGCTAATAACTATGGGCCTGATTCTATATGGACCTGCAACTTGAGCCATCATCTACACTTGTGTGAATTTTGTCAAAGCATGACAAATAAATCTAGACTTGAACGACAAGCCAATTATTGGAGTCTCCCTCTCATCTGCTTTGTAGAGGACACATATCTGTTCATTATGCTTTAGAAAATATGGAAGCCTCAGACAGGGAGGCCTTTAAAAAAAAATCTAAGGGAACATTAATTTTATAGAGAGCGGGCTGTTGCCATGAGGGGGCTAAACAGAAATGTGTACTCATCAGAGCAATAAACAGCAAATGGATTTTAACTCAAAGCTGATCATGAGAAGCTCCTAGAGCACACTTTGCACTTGTAACATGCTTGGAATTTGCATCCAGGTATCCAGCCGGAAATAAGGCCACTGTTTTACTGAGCCCCCTAGGAATGTGCTTTATAAGTTAATAAAAATAATTACAGATGTTGAGTAGCCTGCCTAGAATCAGGGCCGCCCCAAGCAGTGAAAAAACCTGTCTCCACCAAATTGCCGCCGTGGATGGAAGGAGGGAGAGAAGCTGCCGCCAAATTGCCGCCGTGGCCAGCAGAATGGAGAGGCTGCAGCCGAATTGCCGCCACCGCAGAAACTCTGCCGCCCCTTTCTGGCTGCTGCTCTAAGCGCCTGCTTGGCTAGAATGAGTTTGATGGGTCTCAGTCCAGTTCCTAGTGCACTCATGTCCTCTCCATTAAGAACACAATGGTAATCGGCCCTAACAGGCAAGCTTGGTTGGCATTCTCAGTCAACAGATTGAGGATGGACTGACCCCCATGGAAATGGTACTATCCTCTCCTCCAAGGGGCACCGCCTGCATGCCAGAGTTGAGACAGACTGTGGTGGGCGGGGGGAAAATGTGACCCATCGTTACCAATGGATAAAGAGAGAACTCCAGTGGCTGCGAGTCTGGAACTTTTCCGTGAGCAGTAAAATTAACATAAAAAATAATGTAAGGAATAAAATAAATAAGTAAATCTCCCCCTCTCAAAAAACAACAACAACAACAAACCCAAAAAACCAACCAAGAGGCAAAGCTTCAAGAAGTTACAATGTGCGTGGGTTGTAATGACTTGTGGTCAATCCCTCCAACTCCCCTGCCTTTGGGCCAATCGAAGAAGAGGCAGCCTTTAGAGAGTCCATTCCAGGTTTGACACGCAGCCCAGCACCTGCTGAGCAGGACCTTATGAGTTTAATAAGTGCTGTGTGGATATGCATGCAGTGCAGACAGGGTCAATAAAGCTCAGATGCATCTAGTCTTTCCACTGTCTTCAGTGGGCACTGGACTGGACATGTGATGGTGGACCTCTATTCAGAGTGTCAGTGCTTTGATGCAAAGAGCTCGGAGTAACGCGGGACATGCTGCGTGTGGGACGGGGAGAGGGGAATACTGTACTCTTACCTTGTTTTCACCTTCTGGAGCTAAAGGGTCTGTCATCCATGATCCAAACCTCGATCCAGAGGTTTTTATTGTGACTGGGTCACTGATTCCAGTCAGCTTCCCACAAGCTGTAAAAGAGCGGAAAGTCAGTGAGCAACGATTAGGCTTCAGCGTGTGTGGCAGACCTGAGACATTCAGAACTTAGCAGCTCTGAGGAGTGACACGGGCATTAAGACTCGCCCGTGTTGCTGGGACATTGCCTCTCTCCAGTTGCGAGGGAGCTAGTTTAATTAAGGACAATTAGATTGCGAACAGCTGTTGGATGCTTTTGTTTGTTTCATTCCACTCAATAACAATTGTCCTTACCGCAGTGCCCCTAAGAAAATGAACTTTCATGAAAACAGACGTGCTGCGAATGTTGCAGACTAGCAAATGAGGAGAAGAGTTAGCTGGCATCAGGCTGAGAAATTAGTCTGAATAGTGACTGCTCAGTTTTGCTGTAATAGACCTGGGGCTGCTCATTTTGAGTCTCCAAACATTCCTCTGACAGGTTAAAAAAGTGGGGCATTTTATATAAATATACTTATCTTCCCAGCAAAACTATCTACCTGTACTTATCGATCAAGTGTCCAGCACCGTAGTATCTAAGCACTTCACAAACAGTAATGTCTTTTCCTCACACACAACCCGCTGTGAGGTAGGGAATTCTTGCTACCTCATTTGTACAGATGGGGAATTGAAACACAGCAAGATTAAGGACATGAGTTTTAGAGGCACTGCACCCCTGCCGCTGCCATTGGCTTTACCTGGAGTTTTAGGTGGTCGGCATCTCCGAAAATCTGGCCTTAGTGATCTGCCCATGGTCACGCAGTGAGTCTGTGGCAGAGCCAGGAATTGTGGCCAGATCTCCCGATCACTAGTCTAGTGATATAACCACTGCCCAAGCTAGTGAGCTTACCAGAACTGGGATTTGAACCTACATGGACACATGCATATTGGAACTAAAGTCTAAGGGCCAGATTTTTTAAAGGTATTTAGATGCCTCAGGATGTGGATAGGCACCTAGCAGGATTTTCCAAAGCACCTAGGCTCCTAACTCCCATTGACTTCAAACCCACTGAATTCAAGGGGAGTTCCATGCCTACACCCTTTTGAAAAGGCCCCTATCTGTGACTAAATACCTTTAAAAATCTGGCTCTGATGTCTTAACCACTCATCCATTCTCCTTGCTGCTTCAATTTCCTGTATCAATCTCTCTCTTCCATGGTCCCACATAGTAAAATATAATCTTGTATCTTTCTCAGGATTCAGATGAATAAATGTCTTCCGTGCTTCAATCTTAATGTCTAAAATATAGCCCTATGGTGATGTCACATTTACAACAATGCCCATAAGTTTCACGAACACTGCCACCTCAGGCTGTTGAAACGCTCGCATACACGCACGAAAGAACAAGGGGAAGGTCAAAGTAAGATGCAGCAGAAGAATCTGCAGACTGAGACTGAACAGCCTCATTTAAAACCCTTGCACCAGCTCTGCAAAGCAGCCCCTGTAGAACCATGTCCTTAATGAGCCGACATAAGGGCAGACGAACATGGATAACAACACAAACTAAACTCAGGAAGGTGTTCACAGGCTCTTATCAGGAGGTTTTTACACCTGTGACTCTTCAGTCAAGGAGAAGGTCTCAGTGGCAAAGTGGAGCGTAGGCTATGGTCAATGGATTTTGAGGCTTGAATTGAACTGCAGCAAACATGGTTTCTTTAGCCAAAACTGGAAATCAGGGGCCAGATCCCTCAGGTGTAAGTTGGCTGTAAATGAAGTAAATGAAGCTGTGCTGGTTTACAGCAGTTCAGATCAGGCCTTTGATTTGAAGCTGTTATTAAGTACACACCTAAGATTTCTGGGATATCTATTCTTTGAGTTCCCACTTGGTCTGTTCTAATTAGCCAACTGGAGGGCTTCTTAGCTATTCAGTAGTGGCTGAGATTGTTACCTCTGCTTCAGCCCCTTTACACTGAGCAGTGAACAAGGACCCTAAATTTTCCCTAAAAGCCCTGTATGTGGCTGAGAGATGCTGTGAAAGATAGCCGTAAAGCGGCCTTCTGAGGCCCCCCTCCCAAGCCCTAGCATGAGGGACATGCTGTGGGTGTGGCTGGAGGTGGGAGGAACACCTCAGGGACAGGGACACAGAAACATCATGCAGCTCTGTGGAAATTCTGGGCCACCCTGTAGCCCATCGGCCAGCCCAGCGAGGCTACTGTAACTTAGGCCTCTAGGACTGTCTAAGTTACACCAGCCAAAAAGCCGAGCGTCCATGCAGCCCACAATGTGGATTGCACGATGAACGCTTCTTGACACGGACTGAACTCAGCCTAAATCCCTCTCAGCCACGGATGAGGATGAGGTATTGGTGGAAGAATAAAAAGAGTTAAAAGAATATGCAGGTAATTTCTTGCAAATTTTCCTGCACAGGACTAGCCTCTGTCTACTGCGCCCTGCAATTCTCATACCTCTCCATTGCTGTCAATTTAAACACTTTCCCTCTATTTTCCTGGAAAGAATACTGGTATAAAGCCCATTGATTTTTTTTTTTTTTTTTAAAAAAAGCTTATACCGGTAAACTGGTGCTGTTTGCAAGTAGTTAGGCTATGGCTCACTACGCATTTAGCTGGAGACACATTTATAACAGTTTCCCAGCGGGGCACAAGGGCTGATCGTATTCCAGGCTAGATGTCTCTCTCATGGTTTAAATCTGTCACGAGCCTCAGATGCCAGTGGGCAAAATCTAAAAAATTTGAGCTACGCTGTCAGGAATTAGAAACATAGGACTGGAAGGGTCTCTGAGTCCAGTCCCTGCTGTCACAGATAACCCCATCATGCAATCCTATTCACAAATTTATCATGTAGATTAAGAACCTACCACTTGAACAAGACTTGTACCCTGGACCCTCAGATTAAAAATCAGATGTACAATTGATTTAGCTCCCTGAGTTGCATTTAAGGTAAGTCAACATCAGCCATTAGGTGTTATTGTTCTGGATGGGCAACTCGAATCTTTGCATTGCACTGGGAATTTTTAGTGGCATTTGTTCATTCCAGCCAAGAAGCAACTACAGATATTACACCACGGTCTTTTTCATGCCATGTGCTCAGTGATTGCTCGACATAAGCTGTGAGGAACTGTGTGTTGTGAAAAAACTCTGTGAGGTGCTGAATTCTTTCTGCTAGGCATGGAAACCCCTCAGCGTGAATCCAGCTCAGCATCTCACAATATAGGATCCTTGTATAGCCCGTCGGTTATAAATAATTTGCGCATATACAGCCTCTGCTCTCAAACTGCTTTGCATACATTAATGAGTTATGCCTCAAAAGGCCCCGGTGATTTAAGGTTCTCTCTTGTCGTCCCGTTTTACATCTTGGGAAGTTGAGGCGCAAAGAAATTATCTGATTTGTTCAAGGAGAGACCGTGCAATGAGTCAGCGGCGGTGCTGGGACGAAAATCCAAAATTCCTAACTCCGCGGCCGCTGATTTAACCACTAAACTATACTGCCTGTCATAGAGCCTTTTAATGTTCAGCTCCTCACTGAATGGGCCTTCTTTTTGGAACTCCTAAATTAGGCTTGTTAATCGCACCCTAGGGCTCACTCTTGAGCAACAAAGAGCAACCCTTTCAAACTCTTAGGTGCTGAGTATTTGTCTACGTAGCAAACTCAGCCCTTTTTGGCCCAGAAAATAAGAGCAGCAGGGATACATGGGCCGCCTCTTTGTTCTGTGTTTGTCCAGCACCTAGCGCAACGGCGTCCTACCCGGGGGTCCTGGGTGCTACCACAAAAGAAATAATTAATAATAATATGTGCAGGGCTCAGTCATATTTATGCTTCTTTATACTCACACTCATGTTTTTCATACTGAATATCCCAGTATTCAGATAAACCCGAATAACCCCCAAATAACTCAGGGTTTCTGCTTGTTTTTCCTCTTGCTCTTTTAGTGCTTCAGGGAACCATTTATGGTGCTTAAGTTATGCAAGTTGGAGGGTATTTCAAATCACTGGGTGGTGAGACTAGCATAAGATGATTTGGGTTTGCTTTATGTTGTCTCCACAAATTATTCCCGGATGCAGGGGAAAAAAGGAGGGAGGGAGGAGGTTTGAAAAAACAAACACCACTGAACAACTGCTATGGAAGTCCAGTCACTGGAGGTTTTTAAGGACAGGTGAGACAAACATCTATCAGGCATGGTCTAAGCACACTTAGTCCAGCCTCAGCCTCGGGGGATGGACTAGGTGACCTTTTGAGGTCCTTTCCAGCCTACATTTCCCCAAATACTGTTTGTCAGATTTATTTGGGGTCCTGTAGAGCCCGACTGCACAGGGCTAGAGAATGGGAGTCAGACTCATGCCATTAAAATCCCGGCTGGCTCAGCAAATATGATTTAAGGCTGAGATTTTCAAGGCTCAGTTCACTGGTGTTCCATATGATGAGCTCTCAGTCTCATGTGTAAAACAGTCCCTTCTTTTGGCCTTGCCTTCACTAAATCACCCTCGAGGGAGGCGAGGACATACCTCCGCCATCTAACATGGGTTCCAGCTACAACTGTCATGTCTTCACTAGGCTTGTAATAGGGGATAAAACACCTCTTTTTACACAGCCAGTGTGTGAGGTGTGGTGGCCAAGCAGCCATTTTAAAGCCATCGGATCTTTAGATTCACAGCAAAGGGCTTGTTTGATTTTGGAATCAACGGTTATTGTGAATCGCCAGCATGACAGGCCAAATTGGGGTCTTGCTTCTCTGCTGGGGATAGATTCTACGCCTCTGGACAAAGGGAATCCCATGGAAGTCAAAGGAAATTATTTGTATCCTGCAGCAAGACAGTGGCAGGGCTCTACTGCGGGGTGTGGAGCACTCACGGCAGGCACTCTGCTGCTGTGACCTGAGTGAGCGTGTAACGCCAAAACACCCTGGTCGTCGGCTGGCGGGATTGAACCTGGGACCTCTGGAGCTTAGCGTATGAGCCTCTACTGCACAAGCTAAAAGCCACATGCCTTTAGCTAAGGCTGTAGCAGACTCATTAATTTCTAAGTGGTCTTGGTGCCACTAGATGGGACAGAGCACCACACCCAG